TAATTTAGAAACGCTTACACATTATCCATGTCACATAGGTATATGGCTATTAGGCTTACACATTTTTCTAAATTACAAACTGCAACATGTTATCAGAAACCATAACAGGTCATGTAGGCTGTTACTTTTGAAAGTAACAACATTGCTGGATAGATTATAGCCTACCTTCGATGGCCAACATTTATGCTACATTCAAGCTAAGAATTCAAATGTTATATCATGTTAATCAAAATGAACCATTTTTGGCTCATCAATTTGCAATTAATGTTCAGTGGCGTTAGTCCTTACTCGCATGTATAGCGCAGATGAGAGCCTAGATATTGTGGCTATGTCGCCATGATCCGTCTCAGAGACTATCCTAATGTTAAAAAGTAACGTTAGCCTACAAAAGTTATGAAACCACAATGTAGCAACGTGCTTTATTCCAACATATCGGCATATATCACGATCATTTAAATTACATACATTAATTGGTACAGTTTACGAATAGATAGACTACATGTTTGGGCTATGTCTGAAGGTCTATAACGTATGTTTACTTTAAAACACCAATGGATCACATACATACGCTAATATTCTACACAACAAACATGCATCACACAAATGACATTTCTCATTATTTTTAGCGCAATCCATGGCATTTTCCAAGCAATTTTAAAACAACCTCAAATTGTGTATTGGATGCTGTGGCATTATTTCTATGAAGTCCTATATAATCAAGTAACCATTGCCTATTAAAACGGCAAGCTTTCCCATCGACCAATAAACCATTCAATAGACATTGCCTATACAGTGCAAGCACAAGTAAGTGTACAATCACCACATAGGACTGAACGATAGGCTACTGTGTCGCTGACACTTTTTTAAAAAACTTTTTACCCCAGTGGTCTACCTCTTTTCATTGAGATTAGACTAGTCGGAGGAGTATCCAATCAAACAAACACCTGCGCGAGAGCAAATAAAAATTGGCTGGGATTTACCTTAAGATTTTGATAGGCTTCAAGCGTTCGAATGGCGGTATCGGTTAGCTTGACGTGAAATAGAGTTTTATTATGAGCTTTTTTGTTGATTTTTGCACAGGAGAGCCCATACCGATGCTCCTGCCTCAGCGCTGCCATGTCTTCAACTGGGGTGAATTGGCGACATTCTCTGTGAAACGTCACTTGGACCTAGGCGGAGTTAACATTGCATGCGTTGCCGTGATCACGTCACACACACACACACACACACACACACACACACACACACACACACACACACACACACACACACACACACACACACACACACACACACACACACACACACACACACACAAATGGGTCATTTGCATGTCTTTGAATGTCTTTGTTTTGATATTATAATAACAATGTCATACAGCATGTTTGCAAAATAATCCATCTCAGTTTTTTTCTACTGAATGAGAGGGAAAAACAAATTGAAGAATTGCTTGTGACACAATCATGTTTTGTTTTGCTTCTATTGTAAATAACAATGAATAATAATCATAATCATTGTTATTACTGTATTGCATAATGTGAAATATATATCATATAATCTCCTTTTTGTGTAGCCTAATACAGATAAATATGTTTTTTTTACCAAGGTTCTAATTCATTCTACAGCCCTGAAGTCATAATAAATAAATAAAATATGATGAAAAACATTTTTTTTCTCAACTAGATTTAAAATACAAAAATAGCCTATATTCCCTTGATCAGCTGGGCCAATCCCCTGCTCCCAGACAGATAAGGTGAAATGGACAGTGATGAAAAACTAGGGAATTTGGGTTAATTAAAGGTGTAATCCCTAACAGACAAGATGCTTGGGCAGTGGTTAAGGAGCTCTATCCCAGCACTAATGGAGTCTTTACTTGCCATATGGCCATTTGAGGTTCACTATGACTATCTGAACCAGACTATCAACAACACATGCATCACAGCAAATGTACAGTACATAGCCTAGTGCAGTATGTTGTCTTTTGGCAATAATGTGAGAGGAGATAATGAATTCAGACCCCAGAGATTATCACTGTGAATGTTCTTGTCGGTTGTAGCTACTATGTGGGACAATATACCTCAGGAGATTTAACAACCCAAATCCAAACTCTCAAGTGACGGTATTACGGAATCGTAGAATGCAAGTGTGGCTCTTGCTCAGCTGTGTATTGGTCTAATAAGGGTATTTTCAGTAAATGGCTCTAAGCTGTTTTGCAGTGCTAAAGTATTAAGGGGGTTGAGGATAAAACAGAGGGGGATCATCAAACCATATGTAGGTGCAAATAAAAAGCCTTGCTCATGTTGAGTTTCCACACAAACTACAAAAATACATAGTACGCACAAATCATTTTTAATTCATTTCAATACAGCAAAAAGTAGATACTTTGCATTGGAGTTTACCTTCTTTAGTGTGTTTTGTTTAAATCAGATAATAATTTCCCCATTGAATGCTAAATTAAATAATTCATCTAACATTATTTGGAGATTTTCTATCCAGATAATAAGTATCATTCTTAAATCAGTCACAGGGATCGGTTCTGGGCCCTCTCCTTTTCTCCCTATACACCAAGTCACTTGGCTCTGTCATATCCTCACATGGTCTCTCCTATCATTGCTACGCTGACGATACACAACTAATCTTCTCCTTTCCCCCTTCTGATAACCAGGTGGCGAATCGCATCTCTGCATGTCTGGCAGACATATCAGTATGGATGACGGATCACCACCTCAAGCTGAACCCTGGCAAGACGGAGCTGCTCTTCCTCCCGGGGAAGGACTGCCCGTTCCATGATCTCGCCATCACGGTTGACAACTCCGCTGTGTCCTCCTCCCAGAGTGCGAAGAGCCTAGGCGTGACCCTGGACAACACCCTGTCGTTCTCCGCCAACATCAAGGCGGTGACCCGCTCCTGCAGGTTGATGCTCTACAACATTCGGAGAGTGCGACCCTGCCTTACACAGGAAGCGGCGCAGGTCCTGGTCATCTCCCGTCTGGACTACTGCAACTCGCTGTTGGCTGGGCTCCCTGCCTGTGCCATTAAACCCCTACAACTCATCCAGAATGCCGCAGCCCGTCTGGTGTTCAACCTTCCCAAGTTCTCTCACGTCACCCCCCTCCTCCGCACACTCCACTGGCTTCCAGTTGAAGCTCGCATCCGCTACAAGACCATGGTGCTTGCCTATGGAGCAGTGAGGGGAACGGCACCTCTGTACCTTCAGGCTCTGATCAGTCCCTACACCCAAACGAGGACATTGCGTTCATCCACCTCTGGCCTGCTGGCTCCCCTTCCTCTGCGGAAGCACAGCTCCCGCTCAGCCCAGTCAAAACTGTTCGCTGCTCTGGCACCCCAATGGTGGAACAAGCTCCCTCATGACGCCAGGACAGCGGAGTCACTCACCACCTTCCGGAGACATTTGAAACCCCACCTCTTTAAGGAATACCTGGGATAGGATAAAGTATTCCTTCTAACCCCCCCCCCAAATTGTAAAGTGGTTATCCCACTGGCTATAGGGTGAACGCACCAATTTTTAATTGATAAACAAGACACAAGTGTAATCCTGTATATCTCAATACCCATTTCAGGTAAATAACCATAGCATTCACTGCAAGGCTCATTTTCCCTTTAGTCAAGTGGAAAAGTGATATTGAGTTTAGGCATGACAGTCTGAATATTTTTGGTTCCCTTTTCCTGTTGCGACATGACCAGAAACAGCAATGACACACACACTCAAATAAGCAGATTTTAATAACTGTATAAAATGAATGCAATATCTCAGTTCATTATCCTTGTTAAGATAACAAAGACTTTATATTATGTTGACACAGTGCCAGGGGATACCTAACAGACACTCCAAATCATGAACGCAAAAAAACTTGATCTTTGTATCACTGTTTAAAAACAAAAGCTATTTTCATTTAAATTGTGAGTGCATTTTGAATTGAGGGATGGTTTATGATTACATGGGTTGTGGTCGTATATACTGATCTTTGTTGAATTTGCAATTCAATGAATTATTAAGCTAATACACTCTATGAGATACAGTGTGTAGTCATTATAGGACTGAGGCCTGTCTTGTCTTGAAAGTGTAGCTTGCTGGCTCCTCTCCCACAGAAAGTATGTGGTAAACCTAGAAAAACCTGTTCTGTTTGCAGAAATGTATTACACTCAGATCATATTAGATCATAATAATATCTAGTTTGTGCCATACACATGTTGCTGTGATTGTTTTCCCCTTCAAACGTATAAAAGGATGAAATGAGTGAAAGAAAGTGCATACATTGTTGATGATTAGTTTATAAATGGAAATCCACTCAACTCAATCTAGCACTCAATGTCTCACATTGGTCATCAGGGCCATTCTATGAACCTTGGGTCCCCCTCTTAACACTTGACTACTTAAAAAGGGAAAATAAGATCTTGCGCCACAGAGTAAGACAAAACTGTGTCCAAGACAGCAGTCCCTGAGATCTTATTGGTGGAAAGCATTAATGGAAACTGCATTATGGGGCAGCGCGATGAAGTCATTAAGAAGCTTACAGACGTTCTGCCAGATTAGATTTTGCTCTCCTAATCCTACAGATTACAGTCGCACAAGCCTGTTGACCGAGTGTGCTTCGTTGTGTTGTACAATTTATTTGCATTGATAATTTATTGTTGCTCCTAACTCTCTGGAATATGTAGGCTAACAAGGAGTAGCAGGATTTAGAGGAGGTTAAGGTGAGACTGTATATAGCTCTAGTTGATAAGACAAAGCGCTGGTTAAAACTATTGATGCAACCGGGATTCAGTCTGGTTATGGATGTTTTTAAATTGGATTTAACTAGAGTTTATGTGACTGTTCGGTTTTCATAAAAACTACAGACTGTCTCTAATGGATGAAGGCACTTCTCAGCTGTAACTAGACCGAGCAACTGCTTCCACACTACAGAACCAACCAGCCAGGCAGGCAGCGTGGGGAGAGATAGGCGGAGGAGGATCATCTCTTTGGGAGGCTTTCACAGATGGTGTCCCTTGCTCCCTGTAGTGAGATGGAGACAGAACCCTGCCCTGGAGAGCAAGAGAAGTGGGTGGTGGAGACCAATGAGCCAGGCTTGAAGGAGGCCTACACAGGCCCTGGTGACAATGACAGTCAGGAGGAGAAGGAACTGTCCCATGGGCCTCAGCAGGAAGACAAGGAGCCCCATGGTGAGGGAGACCCCAGGATAGACAGCCAGGGTGGAGGGAAGGAGGGCACTACGTTAAACCCACTCCCTATATCTGAGATGACAGAGACCCCCTGTGTGGAAGAGAGGAAGCTGAAGACTCCCAGTTTTGCGAAGACAGTGCGGTTCAGTGAGACAGAGTCTGTGGAGGACAGAGAGAACTCAGAGGAGAGTCTCTTCCCAGACCATGAGATGGTGCAGTGGACCTCCTCCAGCTTCGAGGAGCTGTTCCTGGCTGAGGACTGGGAGAACATCACAGGTATGATACTCATTCAATACAGTCATCGTCATAACGTTTTTTACAAATTATAAAATATTGAAATGGTTGTTGAAGCAATAGTGTTCTATTGTTTGTCAGTTGTTGTGGCACTGCCTGTAATTTGCTTGCCAACAAATTGTACAGACATTGGAAGTTATGTGGAGTATTGTCTATGTAATTTATTAAATTATATTTAGTCAAATTCTATTCTATTTAGTCAAACACCGGCATGTAACGGCTTCTGAAACTGTATTACACAACATTATGCCCTTTCCTAATAGTTGTTTTGTCTCCAAGTGCCTGTTGATCAACAACAAGCAGATTAACCCCCTTTCCCCCCCCCCTCCTCCTTCCTCCCTCTCTCCCTCTGTCTGTCCATCCCTCGCTCCCTCCTTTCCCCAGATGATCAGCTGTTGAGGAAGAAGGTGCTGGTACCTGGCCCCCAGCAAGCTGAGCACCCAGCCTGGGGTCAGGAGGTCACAGTCAAAATGCAGGGAGTGCTGGAGGACAGGACTGTGGTGGAGAAGGACCCTAAATTGGTGTTCGTCATCGGAGAGGGAGATGTAAACCAGGTGGGCCCTACAGACATTCTGACTGACAACAGGACAGGTTTCCAGCACCCCTGTCCTCCACCCTGTCACACACACCTACACCTGCTAAACATAACACAGGGTTGGCCTGATCCTTCAGAGAATGTACATGTGATAGCTACAGTATAGGTTGCAGTGTAGCCATAACAAAACAGCACTGTATGTTATACATCGGTATTCTGTGTGGCTATAGGGTTTCAATGTATGCCATCGTACACACTAGACATTTTAGGTAAATTAATCACTCTTCATGAATGGATTTTCATAATTATTAACTAATGTGTGCAAATAAACCATTAACAGTTAGAGAGCTGTGGGTAACACAGTGCTGTTTGACACATAGGCCCTGGAGGAGTGTGCCATAGCCATGCAACAGGACGAGATCGCATTACTGCTGGCAGATTCACAGTACACCTATGGACTTCTGGGAAGGTAAACACCGCTGGGGGGGAAAACACATTCATGATCCACAGCATCACTGTAGGCAAAGACACAATCACAACACTAAAAAAAAAACAAATATATTTGGTTAAATTAAACTTGAGTTCTGCCTCTCCTCCGATCTATAAGGAGGTTGTATTATGGGGGTGAGGGTGTAAAAACCCAAACTCAGATTTGGCCATCTATCACCCCTCATTAAAAAAAGTAATGTGACATCTATCATCACACTAAGGAACAGAGTCCTATTGTACCTGTTAATCAGAGGGCAGCCTGGCTGTCCCCAGTAGCCTGACTAATGAACCACAACCTGGAGCAGATGGCCCCCTCCAAACACCATTCACACACGGCTAGAGGCCTCTACCCTCCCTCCCACCCTATGGTAGGACACCACTCAAATGACAGCCAATGGCTTGGGTTTACAACCCATGTCCCATTAATGAGCCATTGCATGCATAGAACTTAACGCATTGACACCTGTGGTTCCGACACAATGATACTTCACATGCAATGTTTACTTCAACATAGCACTGTAACGTGATCATTACTCTGCAAATACCACTTGATTTGCAAAAGAAAATAAATTTAAAAAAAATGATGGGGCAGTTAACCAGACGTAAATTCAGTTATTTGCCAAATTACATGCTACCTTTTTTAAAAGTATACCATAGTGTTGTTCATGCACGGGCATATACCTGTGTGTTTCTAACAGGTAAACAAAACAGGATAATGCTCCTGAATAGTGTCATGTCACATAACATGTTTAATCTCCCACACAGATTACCCAATCATCATGTTGTTTAGGATCTTCCTCTGGATATTTACATAAAACCCAATGGAACTAATCGAGATGTGACAATATTTTTGGACAAAACAGCATGAAGATAATACAGCTGTCCTATATGCAAAGAGTTATCCGTTGCACTCCATTTGCATGTTATAGTTTACATCCCAAAATATAGCTGTTTCAGTGGATCCATGGGCAAGGTTGTACTCAGACTATGTCATGTGTCTGTGTGGTCTTGTATTTCTTGCCAGAGCCTGATGCAGTGTGATGAGCGTGCAGTGCAAGTCTTGGCCTCTATGTGTGGTCCTATTCTATGTGTGAGGTCTTGTTAGTATTGAGTTTGTGGAGCTCTAGAGAGTAGTTGTTCAATTCTGTTTTAGCATAGAGAGGGCTGAAAGGAAGGTGATCCTCTGAGGAAAATCTTTCCCTCTGTCTGTTCCTGAGGTGAGTCCCCTGGTCTGTTCCTGAGGTGAGTCACCTGGTTTGTTCCTGAGGTGAGTCACCTGGTGCGTGTAGACAGAGAGAGCTAGAGAGGCCAGGCAGGCAGGCAAGCAGGCAGGCAGGAGCTCAGTTAATGATTGTTTTGCTGCATCTGGTTAAGGCTGTGTACTGTGGAGTCAAATTTAGCCCTTCCCCTGAGGTAGTCCTCCTGGGCACCGTGCCAGCTCCTAAAAGGGTGGTAACAAAGCTGTTTAAGTAACTTCTCCCTGCTGTGATGTCCAACAATGAAAGACAGCTAGTGGTGTCTCAGAGAGACTTCCTAGAATATGTCAAAAGGAGTGACATAAATTAAACAAGGTGCCGTTGTACGGTGCTTTTTATACCATGATGTGATTCAAAGACAGTAATACCACTAATATTTTAAGTTGGAAGAATAACAACTACTTTTTTAAAGTAGCATGCAAAATAATGTATTTACCCTCTCCCCATCCTCTAATGGATACATTGATTGAACCTGTCGGTCGCCTGTTGCAGACAGCGGCACTGTCTCTGCTGAGAGCACTTCACAGCTATTTGTCTGAACATTTTGCTGACACGCTGATTCACTGGTAGGGATGCACCTGGCGTGTTGTGGGTGTGCTGCTGCCTGCTGCATCTGATCCTAAAAGACTTGGTCTGTTAGGATTATTAGACTGATGATGTTACAGTATGTTAGGATATGGCTAATGAAACCCCTGGAACAGTCTCCATGATCAACAATTTACCTGATTCAATACGTCAGACAGGCTGGTGAAAGGTTTATGGGGTAAATCGAGTGTAAAGCACACTGACGTTTGTGCTGCCAGGAATGAACCATGGAACAAGGCAATAAAGAAGTGACTCCATCATCATAACCATCTCTGACACAAGTAACATACGCCAAAAGCATCCAAGCATTTCCGGGGAGATACAGACTGGACTCTGTCAGTCACCACATCCTAATCATAAACCCATGGAGAGCAACATCTGTGGATCTGTGCTCAGGCCCAAGACCAGCACAGTCGAGAAGTCCTGGGGGGCAACACCCCCTCAGCTCCTCACAGACCCAAAGTCAACAACATAAAACATGTGCACTGACAGCTGTTGTACTGACAGGATAAATGTAGTCTTTGCAAATATTAGGAAAGTTTATAAAATCCAGTTGTGGTCCTGCCTGACTACTTGACACCTATGTTATTTGACATCTGTACAAAACACTATGAATTCATAACTTTAATATAACTTTAGTAATAGAAAAAGGTCTACACTGTATCAGGATTGTGAGGGGAAGTTGTTTGAGAAAGTCCTATTCAACAGATCCTTATGTCCCAGCAGGGATGGGGTGGCTCTAGTATCATTTTTGGCAGATATTTGTTTTCTTGGCAGAGATGAAAGCAATGTTAATGATGCATGTTGGAGAGAGCAGTGTTTATTTACTAGGATATTGAGACATGTCAAACAGTCTAATAATGAACACACCTCAGAGGGCTTGGTAGAGTCAAACCAAAGTCTACCCATGATTTGAGGTGATGTATAGTAGCCAAAGGGTGATGAATCCTATCCATTTCAATTCAATTCAAATAACTTGTATTTCTTGACAACATAGCAGCATAGAACACAAAAACATTTAGAGCATTTATTTGCAGAAAATGACAACTGGTCAAAATAACAAAAAAGATACAGTGTTGTCAGACCTCGAATAATGCACAGAAAATAAGTTAAATGTTCATTTTTAAACAACACAATACTAATGTTTTAATTTAGGAAGAGTTCCGAAATCAATATTTGTGGAATAACCCTGATTTTCAGGCACAGCTTTCATGCGTCTTGGCATGCTCTCCACCAGTCTTTCATATTGATGTTGGGTGACTTTATGCCACTCCTGGCGCAAAAATTCAAGCAGCTCGGCTTTGTTTGATGGCTTGTGACCATCCATCTTCCTCTTGATCACATTCCAGAAGTTTTCAATGGGGTTCAGGTCTGGAGATTGGGCTGGCCATGACAGGGTCTTGATCTGGTGGTCCTCCATCCACACCTTGATTGACCTGGCTGTGTGGCATGGCGCATTGTCCTGCTGGAAAAACCAATCCTCATAGTTGGAGAACAATGTCAGAGCAAAAGGAAGCCAGTTTTCTTCCAGGACAACCTTGTACGTGGCTTGATTCATGCATCCTTCACAAAGACAAATCTGCCCAATTCCAGCCTTGCTGAAGCACCCCCAGATCATCACCGATCCTCCACCAAATTTCACAGTGGGTGCAAGACACTGTGGCTTGTAGGCCTCTCCAGGTCTCCGTCTAACCATTAGATGACCAGGTGTTGGGCAAAGCTGAAAATTGGACTCATCAGAGAAGATGACCTTACTCCAGTCCTCTACGGTCCAATTCTTATGGTCTTTTGCAAACCTCAGCCTGGCTCTTCTTTGCTTCTCATTTTCTAGCTTTGCTCGCCGTGCACTTCACCCCAGCTGCCGTTTGCCATTCTTTTTGTAGGTCACTTGATGTCATCCTATGGTTGTTGAGTGACATTTGAATGAGTTGGCGGTCATCCCGGTCAGTAGAGAGTCGTTTCGCCCTCTGCTGGTCTGTAGCTTTGTTGTCTCCAATGTCTGCTGCTTGACCTTGTTCTTATGAACCGCCGTCTTTGAAATTTTAAGGATGGAAGCAACCTGACGCTCACTGTATCCCTCTGCCAGTAAAGCTAGAATAGAACCCTTCTTTTCCTCACTCAAAACTTTCCTTTTCAACTCTTTTGGCATGGTCAATAGTTATTTTTTGATTAATATTACTTTTGAGGTACTATTAGCACTGTTTTTGCCATCCAGCTGGTCCTATTGCAAGAGGATAGTGATGACCACAGCAGTGGTTTTTATACTTTTCCTCGTTAAATAAGATTTGGTTCAGGTGATCACCTAATCAGTACCTAATTCAGTAGAATGAGGTGTGCCTGTGTTGGAATTCAACAGACACTGGAATGGAATGGCTGTCATACATGTAGAGATGCTGATTTAAATAAATATTTGCAGTGGTCTCTTAATGTTTTCCACAGCTGTATATAAAATAAGGGAATCATTTTTGTAAAATGTTTTTATGAATATCACTAGCTACAACAGAATACACACATTTTGAATTACATACCTACAGTAGAAAAGAGGATCATATCTTCTTTCTAATGATGTTAACTTACACTCACTGGAGTATTTGACATAGGTGTTCAAAAAGCACCCGCAAATAGGCTACCTGTGCGGTAAGTGCCGCTGGCTGCTGGTAAGCTTTCTTGACTTGGACATACATTTTTGCCAACACATGGATAACCTTAGTTTAACCAGCTAAACAGCTGATCTTAGAGAAAATGTTTTTGGAGTTACCTTTCTAGCTAATAGGCTATGTTAGAGTTTAAACTTCCTCTTCCAATTATAATGTGGGGAGGTCAAAATAATGAAATACTATCTACCAAATCTATTAATTTTAAAAGGTTGATTACTTCTCCTTGCCATTATCATTCACCTGATGATAAGACATGACATTTTAGTTTTTTTATTTGTTGATAAATTATGATGGGGGTCCCTGGGTCGCTGGTTTGCCTGTTAGGGGGTCCCTGGGCGAAAAAAGGTTGAAGACCCCTGCCCTACAGCACCAAACCACTCCACAATATTAAACAACAGGATGGATTGTATAAAGCATTTATAAAATGCTTGGAGGATGGATTGGTGTACATTAAACTTCCTCAATTTCCGTAAAATGAACAACCGT